ATTTTAATGAACTCATATTTCAACTAAAAAAAATCAATGAACTCAAATTTCAACAAAAAAAAAATAAACATAAAATTAAAATAAATTCCTAAAAATATTCTTTGAAAAGTCAGAAATTTTAACAAGTAACTAAAATATTTTGTACAATCAAGAAATGAGAAACAAGAATTTTATTTCAAAATGATAATTATGTTTACATTTTTGTAATTATTTAGATTCTTAATGATTAGTGATTGTTACAGAGATTTTAATTAATATTTTTCAAACAAGTCCTAATAATCTGATAAATCCTCACCAATTTGTATTATTTTACTCCAGATATTAATTAAAGGCAAAGCAAAGGTAATGAATAATCTTACATATTTATCATTCCAATTATAAAAAACTAAAAAAGTATTCAAGTAAATAAATAGACTCTAATTTCATTCAAAAATGTTTAGCATGAGCTTATTAATTAATAAATTATTATTGTATCATTAATAATCAAAATTGTTGAATTTTTTTGTAAGAAAATAAGGATAAATTTATCTTATTTCAATAAAATTTTTTATTAAAATATTTTCTAAGTTAAAAATTTTATAGAATTTTTTTATTATTTGATTGAATGAAAAATTATCATATTTGGTCTATATTTAATTACAATAAATAATAATACAAAAATCAGTGATTAATAGAACAAAATTGCATAATTTAAAGACTTCTTATAAACTATATATATTTTATTAATATAAAGCAAAAATGATCATGCCGTATAAATTAGCGCTTAGTTCTTAGAATAATTTATCATATAAAATATTTAGTTAAGAGTTAAAAAATGACTTTAAAAGTTTTTAAATTATTTTTAAATTAAATAAAAGATTTCATAAAAATTTCTTTTAGCTTTAAAAATAAAATTAATTTATCATAAATAGTAAAATAAGTAGAATTATTTATTATTTTATAATAACAATAATTTTAATTTGAAATTTTTTGTTTAGGATATAATAAAAAATATTTTATTTGTATTAAGTAGCGATTCTATTATTTAAATTAAATAGACAATATTATTATAAATATCAATTTAATCATTATCAATTAGTTTTTAATAAAAAAGATATTAGTATATTTGTAGATTAGTGAATAGGCACTTTGATTAATTCAAAAGATATTCTGATTATCTTTTAAGATAATCAAAATATCCTTAAAGATCTTTAGTCTTTTTTGCTTTCTACCTATATTTAATTAATATCATAAAACTTACAGTAAAACTGTCAAGCTGTGCGAGAGTTAAAAATTAACAAAAGATTTGATCCCAACTCTAACTTTTGTAAAACAAAATCTATCTATAAACTAGAAACATTTATATTTTGGGTAAATTTTTTGGTTATGTATGTGCGCAGTCTAAATTTAAAATTATTATTCATTAATAATGTTTATATTATACTAATATGTGTCTATCTATTTTACATTAGAAAAAAGATACATACTTTATAAAATAAATATTATAAATATAAAAGAATTTTGTTAAAATTACTTTGTATCTTATCCTTTAATATTGTACTAAAAATAGAAAAGTTGTTAGTATATTTGAAAATCAATTAATATTTCTTCTTGATTTTTAATCAATTTTTACTGATAAGCGAATTTTTCTTATTTCTTGTAACTATTAAGGTGATTTTTCCTTTATATACTAAAAAAGAAGGGACTTCTGCATATATAAATTTTACATCACAAAAAACATCTGTTTTTAATAAAAAAGCAAACCCCTCAGCCTACTTTAAGTAAGTCAGTACTCCAATTAGCAACCCCAGTCGCATAGCGAAAGTGAATAGCAAAATGTCTAAGAAAGTTCAAAAAGAATTATTCGAAACTATCTCAAGTAAAATCTTCAAAGAATGCTTAATTTAAAGGCCATCAATTAAGGAATTGGTCAAGTTGATCTTCAGCTAGAAAAAATACTTCTAAAATTTCGAGTATTTAAGCAGTGGCGCTTATTCTCTTGTATTAAAGGCTTACAATTCTAAGCAAAATCGCCAAGTTGCTCTCAAATTTTTAGGGAGCTCAAACCAAGAGGATAATAATGGCATCGAATCATTGAAAAAAGAGTATGAAATGCTTCAAAAGTTTAGCCAATCATAATTTTTAGTAAATGTCTATGATTGCTTTTATTTAATGGAAGAACAAGAAGATGAAGATGAAGATGGAAACAATATAATTGTTTAAACTGGAGTCAAATCCTTCTTTGTCATGGAAATGGAGCTTTGTGAGAGTAAACAAAAATCACATTTTTTCATCCATTTTTTTTTTCTTTCATTTTTTTTAAACATGTGAAAATACATAAAATAAGATATTTTTATACTTTTTATTAACTTGACATGGCTTACGCATCATCCTTTTAAAAATAGGTAATTTATTTTTTTTTCTAAGTCTTTTTTGATTTTTGATAGGTTAATTAAAAAAAATTAGATTTGCGCTAAATTGATTTAATTAATTTAGAAATTGTAATAGAAATTATATTATTTATTATAATAACATTAATTTTAATTAATTTTTTAGGATTCCCCACAATTAAGATTTTTTCATTTATTTTCATCAAATTTTGTAAAATTTCTTAATTAAACCTTCTAGAAAATTAATTAATCAGAATTTTATAATCTATTTTCCCAATATTATAAATTAAATTTTTATTAACTAATTTTTATAAAAATATATTTTGAATATTTAATTTAAAAAAAATATTTAATTTAAAAATTTTAATTTATATTATTAATTTTAACAATCCTCAAATTATTTAATTAAAAAATTTTTTTTAATTATTTTAAATAAATTTTTAATTAATAATTTAAAATTTTATAAAATTTAAATAAATAAACCTATTAATTTTATCTAAAATAATAATTAAATTAATTAATATCTAATTAGCCTTTATTTTTACTGTTAACTTTCAAAGGTAAATTTAAATATTAGCAGTGTTTAAGAAATTAATTAATTTATAACTTACATAATTTAATTGATTTCATTTTAAAATAAATAAAACAATTTAAATTTAATTTAATATTTTTAAATTAAAAAAACAAATTTATTAAAAAATGAAACATAATAATAAATAATTTTGAAGTTAATTAATTTAAATTTTATTTTCTTATTTAAATAATAAAAATTATCCATTTTTTTAATCTAATTTTTTTTAAATTATACAATTCCCACAATTAATTTTAATTAAATATCAATTAGCATCACCTATTCGAAATTAAAAAGGAATTTTACTCTCTTGAAATTCTAAAATAACTAAAAAAATGATCTTTTACTTATTAAATAGGTTGAAAAAAGAATATTCAAAATAAATTTAATTTAACTCTTACAATATTAAATAAACTGATAAATTAAATTTCAAAATAATTATTTTTTCTTAAAAGATAAAACTTAAATTTTTCTCTATGTTTTTAAAAAATAAAAAATATTAGTAAATAAATGTTAAAATTTAAAATTTAAAGACTTAAAAATAAAAATTATTTAAATTAAAATTTGAACTTACTTATTATAATTAATTAAATTTAATAATTAACTAGAAAATCTCAAATAGCTTTTTGATTTCCTCAGAAAATAGTAAGTTCCACCTCCTAAAGAGATCAAGGAAATAATAGCTATTCAAATGATAGAAGGGCTGAATAACCTTCATGTCAAAAATATTATGCACAGGGATATCAAACCTTAAAATTACCTTGTTTGTCCTTCTGAAGAGTATGGTTTCTCAATCAAACTTTGTATAATATTTTTATTATATTATATAATTTTTTAATAATACCTTATAATTTCAGGTGATCTAGGCTTTGCATCAGCTGTGTCTAAATCAAAAAGCTTCATGTCTAAGGTTAAAACTTAATTATTATTTTAATTAATTTCAATATTTTTAATAATTTTCAGAAAGGAACTGATTTATATTTTGCTCCAGAAGTGGAAGAAGGAAAATCTAGAATTCAGGTTTTTAATAAAAATGTTGTATAATTTTTTGAAGTTTATTTTAATTGAATAGTCAGATCTCTTTTCACTAGGTCTCGTTTTATTAGAACTAGACAATCTCAAGACTCTAAATGAAAATTGGATAGATACCAAAATAAAGTATTAGCTATTCAATGGAGAAAATATACCTAAAGAAAAATATTAGATAGATACAAATTCTAATATATACAAGATCGCTTAGATATGCTTAAAGCCTAGGTATTTAGACAGGACTACAGCAGGAGAATTACTATCTTAACTCATCTAAATGCATGGTTAACCATTGAAATTTGTATTGACTTCTATGATTATAGAGGTAATATAATATTTTATAATTAATTTAAAAATATACTAGAGTATTCTAAAATATTAATTTTCAATTTTTAGTAAAATTAATTAAATTTTATTTTAAATCTTAAAAAAGCATTAAAAATGCAATTCAAAACAAAAATATTTTATTTTTCTAATAAATTGAATAAAATAAAAATATTGTTATAAGCATAATAAAATAAGAATAGATTATTTTTCTTAAAATTTTTTATTATTAAATGAAAAACACAACATCTAAAATTATCAAATAAATTTATATAAATTATATAAAAAAACATTATATTCCTTTTTATTTTTGATTAAATTTTTGTTTTTCTTTTCAAGTTAATAAAAAAAATATATTTTATTTGATAATCATTTTTTTTATAATATTAATTTCATAAAATAACAAAAATTGATTTTATTTTTTTTGGAATATTTGAATTTAATAAATAATTTTATAATATAAGGAACAAATACCTAAATAGGCACAGTAAATATTTGATAGAATTAATCAACAATAAAAAGATATGGTAAAAATTATTTTTAATTTAAATTTTTATAATTAATACAAATTAATGAAAATTATATTATTATTAATTTTAAAGGATAATTAATTTGACCAGCAAGCTTAGTAGATTCTTGATAACACCATATCGAAAATTAAACAAAAAGATTTTCAAACACAATTTACAAAAGTGGAAATATTGTCTAATCTACTGAAAAGTCTATATGAGCATAAAAAATATTCAAATAACTTTCAAATTCTTAGCTTTGGAAGCTTTGGAATGGTATTAGCTACTAAAAAAGCCAAGCTTGATAACAAAGAAATAGTGCTAAAAATACAAAAAATAGAAGATGAATAACTAATCTAAAATGAAATTAGTATTATGTAGAAATTAAAAGAGCCACTTGTGGTATAGCTTTATGATAGCTATATAATAGAAAATAAGTTAGGACCTGATAGATACTCAGTCTTTGAATTAGAAAAATGTTCATGTAATTTATTAAATTATTAATATTAATTTTAATTTAGGATTTAATTTTCAATTAAATAATTCAAACTCAAATAAAAGTCCAATTTTAAATAAATAAAAAAATTAATTAATAAATTTTAAACCAAAAAGTATTTAATTCGTTTTTTAAATTTTTTAAAAATAAAAAGTTTAATTTATAAGTTATAAAAATAATTTTTATACTTTCGTTATTGATTACTTAGTTAATTAATTAATTTAGAAACATTCATTTATATAAAAATAATTTAAAAAAAATATATTTAATTCCGTATTAATGTTTATTTTCTAAAAGGTTCATTAGATGAATATCTTGAAAGATAAAACAAAGATGGATAATTAAATGAAGATAACAAATTTTAAATGGCTATCTAAATTATAGATTCTGTCAATTATATTCACTAATTTAATATCATTCATAGGGATATTAAACCAGAAAATTTTTTGGTTTATTTAGATGGAAAATAAGCCGAAATAAAATTATGTAAATTATTTTTATTCATGAAGTATTTATTTTTCCTCCTCTTTTGAATTAAAGGTGATTTCGGTTTATCTGCTTAGATTCCAGATAACAAAGATTCAATTCAAACTATAGAAGTAGATTTTTTTATTACATTTATTCTAAATTTTAAAAATATTTTATAGCACATAGGAAATTTAGGATATTCAGCTCCTGAAATACTAAATAAATAGGATAATGAACTTAAGTCTTATACAAAGAAAGTACTTTTTTATAAAAAATATTAACTTTTAAATTATTTTTTTATTTTAGTCTGATTCATATTCAGTAGGGTTATTGCTAGCTTTATTAGATAATTATTAAGATCTAAAGACGAATACGACTTCAATTTTCGCTTTAATGACACAATAGTAGTTAGATAAGCCTTTCGAAAAATCTAATATTTAAATTAACAAAAATTCAGAAATTTATAAATTTATTAACCTTCTTGTTGTTTCTGATAGTGCTTAAAGGGCATCTCTTTATGATATAGTACAAAAAAGAGATAAAATATTCTTTTCAAATTCAAAAGAAATGAAATAAATCCTATAAAAATCTCTTTTGATGCAAAACGATAAGAAAATAGAGCAAAATGAAACTATAGAAATTGATTCTCTAAAGGATTTGAATAAAATTTAAAATTACAATATTGTTACGATAGATTTAGGGTAATTTTTTTATTTAAATTGGTACTTTTAATATTTTAATGATCAATTTTATTCTTTTTAAATTATTTTATTGATAATAATTTCCCTTTAATAATTATCTTATAAAAGTAAGTAAGTAAATTATTTATATATTTACTAGCTTAATTATTTAAATAACATAAAATCTAAATTAAAGAGAAAAAAAAATTTTTTGAAAATTTTTCTCCTTCAACTCAATTTTGCTTTAAATTCATAAAATTTAATTAACATTTTAAAATTGAGAAAAAAGAAAAAAATAGATTAATTAAGTCACTTCGTTAGTTAGTAAGTTATTTTGTTATTAGAGTACTTTATTAATTACATATATAAATACTTATTTGCTTACATACTTACTACTCAGCTAAAAAATAATCGATTTGTTTACTTACTCCTTCAAAAACAAACTAAAATACTAACAAAGGCAGCAATCTTTTTTTACAATCCTTTCTCCTCCAAATTTATTTTTTTAATTCATTATTTATTCTTATATTTAAAGGGAAAATAGAATTGGTGATGAGGGTGCAAAAGATTTAGCCACAGGAATAGCGTAGTGCAAGAATATCACAAGTTTGACGCTTGATTTAAGGTAAAAACTTCATTTATTGATTGATAAAAAGCAAGATTTATAGAAAAATTTGTTTATTTTGCTGATTTACGCTTTTCACTTAGTGATGAGCTAATTAAGTCACTTTGTTAGTTAGTTAGTTAATTAGTTTGTTATTTAGTTATTAGATTGCTTACTTAATTACATACATAAATACTTATTTGCTTACATACTTACTACTCAGCTAAAAAATAATCAATTTGTTTACTTACTCCTTCAAAAACAAACTAAAATACTAACAAAGGCAGCAATCTTTTTTTACAATCCTTTCTCCTCCAAATTTATTTTTTTAATTCATTATTTATTCTTATATTTAAAGGTATAATAGTATTGGTGCATAGGGTGCAAAAGATTTAGCCACAGGAATAGCTTAGTGCAAGAATATCACAAGTTTGACGCTTGATTTATCGTAAAAACTTCATTTATTGATTGATAAAAAGCAAGATTTATAGAAAAATTTGTTTATTTTGCTGATTTACGCTTTTCACTTAGTGATGAGCTAATTAAGTCACTTTGTTAGTTAGTTAGTTAGTTAGTTAGTTAGTTAGTTTGTTATTTAGTTATTAGATTGCTTACTTAATTACATACATAAATACTTATTTGCTTACATACTTACTACTCAGCTAAAAAATAATCAATTTGTTTACTTACTCCTTCAAAAACAAACTAAAATTCTAACAAAGGCAGCAATCTTTTTTTACAATCTTTTCTCCTCCAAATTTATTTTTTTAATTCATTATTTATTCTTATATTTCAAGGGAAAATAGAATTGGTGATGAGGGTGCAAAATATTTAGCCACAGGAATAGCGTAGTGCAAGAATATCACAAGTTTGACGCTTAATTTATGGTAAAAACTTCATTTATTGATTGATAAAAAGCAAGATTTATAGAAAAATTTGTTTATTTTGCTGATTTACGCTTTTCACATAGTGATGAGCTAATTAAGTCACTTCGTTAGTTAGTTAGTTAGTTAGTTAATTAGTTTGTTATTTAGTTATTAGATTGCTTACTTAATTACATACATAAATACTTATTTGCTTACATACTTACTACTCAGCTAAAAAATAATCAATTTGTTTACTTACTCCTTCAAAAACAAACTAAAATACTAACAAAGGCAGCAATCTTTTTTTACAATCTTTTCTCCTCCAAATTTATTTTTTTAATTCATTATTTATTCTTATATTTAAAGGTATAATAGTATTGGTGCATAGGGTGCAAAAGATTTAGCCACAGGAATAGCTTAGTGCAAGAATATCACAAGTTTGACGCTTGATTTATCGTAAAAACTTCATTTATTGATTGATAAAAAGCAAGATTTATAGAAAAATTTGTTTATTTTGCTGATTTACGCTTTTCACTTAGTGATGAGCTAATTAAGTCACTTTGTTAGTTAGTTAGTTAGTTAGTTAGTTAGTTAGTTAGTTAGTTAGTTAGTTAGTTAGTTAGTTAGTTAGTTAGTTAGTTAGTTAGTTAGTTAGTTAGTTAGTTAGTTTGTTATTTAGTTATTAGATTGCTTACTTAATTACATACATAAATACTTATTTGCTTACATACTTACTACTCAGCTAAAAAATAATCAATTTGTTTACTTACTCCTTCAAAAACAAACTAAAATTCTAACAAAGGCAGCAATCTTTTTTTACAATCTTTTCTCCTCCAAATTTATTTTTTTAATTCATTATTTATTCTTATATTTAAAGGTGGAATAGTATTGGTGATGAGGGTGCAAAACATTTAGCCACAGGAATAGTGTAGTGCAAGAATATCACAAGTTTGACGCTTAATTTATGGTAAAAACTTCATTTATTGATTGATAAAAAGCAAGATTTATAGAAAAATTTGTTTATTTTGCTGATTTACGCTTTTCACTTAGTGATGAGCTAATTAAGTCACTTCGTTAGTTAGTTAGTTAATTAGTTTGTTATTTAGTTATTAGATTGCTTACTTAATTACATACATAAATACTTATTTGCTTACATACTTACTACTCAGCTAAAAAATAATCAATTTGTTTACTTACTCCTTCAAAAACAAACTAAAATACTAACAAAGGCAGCAATCTTTTATTACAATCCTTTCTCCTCCAAATTTATTTTTTTAATTCATTATTTATTCTTATATTTAAAGGGGAAATAGTATTGGTGATGAGGGTGCAAAAGATTTAGCCACAGGAATAGCGTAGTGCAAGAATATCACAAGTTTGACGCTTGATTTAAGGTAAAAACTTCATTTATTGATTGATAAAAAGCAAGATTTATAGAAAAATTTGTTTATTTTGCTGATTTACGCTTTTCACTTAGTGATGAGCTAATTAAGTCACTTCGTTAGTTAGTTAGTTAGTTAATTAGTTTGTTATTTAGTTATTAGATTGCTTACTTAATTACATACATAAATACTTATTTGCTTACATACTTACTACTCAGCTAAAAAATAATCAATTTGTTTACTTACTCCTTCAAAAACAAACTAAAATACTAACAAAGGCAGCAATCTTTTATTACAATCCTTTCTCCTCCAAATTTATTTTTTTAATTCATTATTTATTCTTATATTTAAAGGGAAAATAGAATTGGTGATGAGGGTGCAAAAGATTTAGCCACAGGAATAGCGTAGTGCAAGAATATCACAAGTTTGACGCTTGATTTAAGGTAAAAACTTCATTTATTGATTGATAAAAAGCAAGATTTATAGAAAAATTTGTTTATTTTGCTGATTTACGCTTTTCACTTAGTGATGAGCTAATTAAGTCACTTTGTTAGTTAGTTAGTTAATTAGTTAGTTAGTTAGTTAGTTAGTTAGTTAATTAGTTTGTTATTTAGTTATTAGATTGCTTACTTAATTACATACATAAATACTTATTTGCTTACATACTTACTACTCAGCTAAAAAATAATCAATTTGTTTACTTACTCCTTCAAAAACAAACTAAAATTCTAACAAAGGCAGCAATCTTTTTTTACAATCTTTTCTCCTCCAAATTTATTTTTTTAATTCATTATTTATTCTTATATTTAAAGGAGAAATAGTATTGGTGCATAGGGTGCAAAACATTTAGCCACAGGAATAGCGTAGTGCAAGAATATCACAAGTTTGACGCTTAATTTATCGTAAAAACTTCATTTATTGATTTGATAAAAAGCAAGATTTATAGAAAAATTTGTTTATTTTGCTGATTTACGCTTTTCACATAGTGATGAGCTAATTAAGTCACTTCGTTAGTTAGTTAGTTAGTTAATTAGTTTGTTATTTAGTTATTAGATTGCTTACTTAATTACATACATAAATACTTATTTGCTTACATACTTACTACTCAGCTAAAAAATAATCAATTTGTTTACTTACTCCTTCAAAAACAAACTAAAATACTAACAAAGGCAGCAATCTTTTTTTACAATCTTTTCTCCTCCAAATTTATTTTTTTAATTCATTATTTATTCTTATATTTAAAGGGAAAATAGTATTGGTGCATAGGGTGCAAAAGATTTAGCCACAGGAATAGCGTAGTGCAAGAATATCACAAGTTTGACGCTTAATTTATGGTAAAAACTTCATTTATTGATTGATAAAAAGCAAGATTTATAGAAAAATTTGTTTATTTTGCTGATTTACGCTTTTCACTTAGTGATGAGCTAATTAAGTCACTTCGTTAGTTAGTTAGTTAATTAGTTTGTTATTTAGTTATTAGATTGCTTACTTAATTACATACATAAATACTTATTTGCTTACATACTTACTACTCAGCTAAAAAATAATCAATTTGTTTACTTACTCCTTCAAAAACAAACTAAAATACTAACAAAGGCAGCAATCTTTTTTTACAATCTTTTCTCCTCCAAATTTATTTTTTTAATTCATTATTTATTCTTATATTTAAAGGGGAAATAGTATTGGTGCATAGGGTGCAAAAGATTTAGCCACAGGAATAGCGTAGTGCAAGAATATCACAAGTTTGACGCTTAATTTATGGTAAAAACTTCATTTATTGATTGATAAAAAGCAAGATTTATAGAAAAATTTGTTTATTTTGCAGATTTACGCTTTTCACTTAGTGATGAGCTAATTAAGTCACTTCGTTAGTTAGTTAGTTAATTAGTTTGTTATTTAGTTATTAGATTGCTTACTTAATTACATACATAAATACTTATTTGCTTACATACTTACTACTCAGCTAAAAAATAATCAATTTGTTTACTTACTCCTTCAAAAACAAACTAAAATACTAACAAAGGCAGCAATCTTTTTTTACAATCTTTTCTCCTCCAAATTTATTTTTTTAATTCATTATTTATTCTTATATTTAAAGGGGAAATAGTATTGGTGCATAGGGTGCAAAAGATTTAGCCACAGGAATAGCGTAGTGCAAGAATATCACAAGTTTGACGCTTGATTTAAGGTAAAAACTTCATATATTGATTGATAAAAAGCAAGATCTATAGAAAAATTTGTTTA